AGACAGAACACAAAGCAACTACCTCATTTATGAAATTGATGCTGGAACCTCTGAGCCCAGCATTCATTACAAATTCAGCAGCAGAGCCACTTACTTGATAGCAGACAGCTGGAAGTGGAGGATTAAGGGATGTCAGGAGCCAGGTCTGAGGCTAATTCTCAGTAGCCTGCCTCATTCTTTGCCTCTGAACACTTAATAGATCATTTTTCTTACCAATACCTATGACCCAAGAGCCGCTAAACTCCAACATCACCGTGCCTCAACTCCAGACGTCTCTTCTCGGAGCGTGGATGCAGATATGGGCTGGTGGCATCAGGTTGTACAGAAGCACCTCCTGGATCATACACAGATCAAAACCAACCACACTGCAACCCTCAGGAAAAAAAAAAATCCTCCAAGCAGGGCATCCTGACTGCACTGCCACACAGGCAGAACCGCGGGGTACGAAGCAGAAACAAACAACAGTGATAAGTGCAGGAGCAGCGGCGCATGGGAAACCTATCACAAAAGGCACTAAATCTCAGTTCCTGAAGCCCAGACACTGCCCAACATCTTTGCGTTTTGCTGAAGCCCAGACACTGCCCAACGTCTTTGCGTTTTGCTGAAGCCGAGCGTCTCCCCTCTTCCTCCTCCTCCTCCACAAATGGAGCTCATTTATCTGCTATTGGCATTTAGGGGTTTTCACTTCATCACCTCACTTGGTCCTGCGAGGAGCGAGGCTGCACAGGACACGGCTTCCAACCACCCGTCCCATCGCTTTTATCAACCTGACAGCATCTAAAGGACAGAAAGGTCTGTCACAGCCCGACTTCTTCTCAAGCCCCCACAGTTCTAGAGGACTATTTTACAACATCCTCGAGCCCAGCCATCATCCCTCCGCCGCTTCCCCCAGGAGATTACATCCCTGCTAATTACTCTCGCTGTCAGGAAGCTGCTTCCCCAGCGGAGCTGTGGCAGCTCAGTGAATGATTGCGATAAAGTTTTACTTCGTCTTGGTCAGGCTCTCTCCTTTAGCACAGACAGGCTGATCTATCAAATGGATAAAAGGACCTGGAAAAAAAAGGTAACAGAAGTTGGGGCAGAGGGAGAAGGAACCATTCAGCACCTAAACCTGGCCAAGTGCTATCAGATAGCGTGGGCTCAGAACACAGCAAAGTTGTGGCACACCCCTTAGCTCTGTTAAACAGCTTACTGTTCTTATTAGACACATGTACGTTGCCTTTCATCCAAACAGACCTGGAATAGCTTATCATCCAGCCAGAAATCAGTTCCCTTCCTGGATCGCACCCTGCAGGTGGGAGGGTTTGCTGAGCAAACTCCAAGGGGCTTCAGTAGCATTTTGGACGACGCAAGGTTTGCCTGCCTACAGCAGGGCTCGTGCGTGAACCCAGGCAGACATGCAGGGCTGGAGCTGCTCTACGCAGGAGGAAGGCGGACCAGATGTGAGTTAATTCGCCCCGAAAGGGGGCTGGCAGCCAAGCTGGGTGCTGAGAGCCCCCCTCGTCCTTCAGGAGTGCAAACACAGTTTATTCTCCTATACAAAATTCATAGTAAGCCGTGATTGCTGCATGTTCATCTCATGGCTGCTAAATATTTATGAGCCGATTACAAAAAACAAATTTATCGCTTCGGCCCTCAGCCAAATTTGGAAGGATTCAAATATTTATTCCAAGAGCTCTACCCCCTCACACACTTCCTCTCCCCCACCTTGCTTCCCACTCAAGTGGAGGATCGAGCATTTTCAGTGCTCACCCCTCTCTCTGGACAATACATTGGTTTGCTTTAATTTCTCTGGCTTGCTTGCAAAGAGCTTCTACCTGACAGCAGCTGGATGGGGGGACACCACACGTGTGCTCACGCTCCCGCGAAGGAGCTGGTGGGTCAGGAGGCAGGCGGGACACACGCTGAACATCCTTAGCAGCACGGAGCACAAAGCAGAGCGCTGTCGGCATCTGTTATTTGGGCCAGGCCCTTGGAGCAGGGGAGCTGCAACTGGGAACAGGGCTGAGCTTTGCCAAATGAATCATCTCTTCCCCATCCCACCCTTTTGGCAAAGCCGGCACCACCTTCCACTTCCAACAAAGGGCATTGGCGGCGCTCGGCCGGGGAAGGGACGTGACCCTTTGCTTCCAAGCAGCAGATTTTTGTGCTGTTCCTGGCCAGCGCGACGAGCTGAGCACCGTCACCCACGGCCCAGAGCGATGCTAGCTCGGCCTCTGCCACAGATCCCATCTGGCCACAGACACAAACAGGTCCCTCCCCAAGTCCCCGGCGCCCCGAACAGACACACCTACTGCTGGCAAGGCCAGTGGGCAAAATCCTCAGCTTGTTTGCTACAGCTGCGTGTTGCACAGAGCTGCACATGGATCGCTTTCCTCCTCAGTTGCCTGCATAAAGACTATTAAAATTAACAGAATAACACATATAAATCTGCCACTGTTTCCCCTCAAGACAGAGGAAGAGCCAAATCATTGCTAACAGGGGTGGCTCAACAAGGTTTTATATTAGCCTGGTAAATTCAGAGGCTGCAAGTTGCATCTAATTCAGAGCAGCTGCATTATCCCATTCAGGGAACTAATTAAACCTCCAACAGCAGCACTACATTTATGTTTAAGTCTCACTGTTGCCATTATCACCAGCCAGATCAGTCCCTTTCTGCACATACAAATCACTACAAAAACCCCCCAATCGTTCCCCATAGGTGCATCTTTACCATTTCTTACCAACCACAGGAGTCTGCTATAGGATATTTTATAGCAACTGGCCTGACTACATAAACAGCTCCCTTTTATGCTCCTTCTACAGAAAACTGCTCTGCCCCATGAACTGTGCCCCTCTTGCCGACAGCACCAAAGAGTGCAACGTTGCACCAGGAGTCAGAATGAGACCCCAAATGCCTCTATACAGTCTTTGGAAATTAAAGAGCAAACCAAGCTAAAGGCAGCGAATCATCAGCCGTTGGCTTGTCCCCCTTCCGAGTGGAGTATTTAACTTCAATTGATTCAGTCATTAGTTTAGACTGGATCTAAGGAAGAAATTCCTTACAATGAGGGTGGCGAAACCCTGGCAGGGGTTGCCCAGAGAGGGGGTGGAGGCCCCATCCCTGGGAACATTCCAGGCCAGGTTGGAGGGGGCTGTGAGCAACCTGATGTGGTTCAAGGTGTCCCTGCTCCTGCAGGGGGCTTGGGCTGGGTGACCTCTAGGGGTCCCTTCCAACCCAAACCATTCTATGATTCACAGAAGTCTTTTTCAGTGGGAACAAAAACATTCTGCAAAAAGAGGTCATTGCCATCTCACAGATGGGGAAACTGAGGCAGAGAGGAGAAACCTTTGTGCGGAATCATTCAAGTTCTCTGTGACAGCCATGGACCCCAAAACAAAATGACTGCTCTGGCCACAGGATGCTACCACCAGATTAAAGCAATTCCACAAAAATGTTTAAATTACACCAGAAAACAGGAAGACAAAGAAAATGATCAGGTTTTGCTAGTACTATTTTTTTTTTTTACATTAGACCTGCTCTATTGTAGACAGATGTGAATTTTTCACATTCTTTCTTTGATTTCCTCACCTAAACATAACAGGAAGAAAAAGCAGATTTTTCTCTTGTGGCTTGTTAGGCTGACGCTGGGTGGAAATGATGCTTTTTGTTTACAAGCAGGGAAGCAGATCTGTGGGTTCATTCCTCCGAGCAGAGGAAGCACAGGCACGCTAACACTTGACCTCTGCTACTGGTAGAGTCGCGCGGCGCTGTAAAGCCAAAGGTTCCTTCCCTTTCGATGTTTGTTGTAAACAGTTCAGTGAGGCATGAAAAGCACAGTGAAAATTATCTGGTCCTTTCAAATAAGCCCTCTGCTGCAGAACCATTCACTCGCAGTCATAGTACAACTGACCCGGGTAATTAACAGCAAAGCCTCTGCAACCAAAACAGCTATGGAGGAAAATAGATATATTTGGCAAACCTGAAACACTGCAGGGAGTAAGAGGGAGTGAGAGTATGAACTGAAAGACAGGCTCGTACTGAGGAGGGATTCCCACTTTGCTTTTAGCATCTTTAAACATCTCCCTCTTCCACACAAGATGATTTTATCTCCGAGTCCGGAGCATCAGTCAGCGCAGAAGACAGGCAAGCAGGGGCACAACCATCCCACGAGTTTACACGCCTGGCACACAGAGCTCCACACCCCCAGCACCACGCCAGGGGTTTTATTTCCTTTCTGTGTACAAAGAGTGGTTCATCTGAGCTTATCTCTTCTGCAGCGCTGCTGCTCTACCAGCAGAGAATCATCTCCAAAGAATGTGTTTCAGTAATGCTGTGGTGCTGAATTTCAGAGGGACACTTAATCTCGCCCGAGTGGTTCACTAGGGCCAACTTTCTGAGCATGAAATATTTAACTATCCATGGGCCTCCTGTACTATAATAAAGTGACTTCTAACAAGCCTCTGAAATTAATATGCGAAGAGGAAAGCGGGAGCTATTAAATGCACAAAACACAGCCTGATTACTCTCTTCCTTCCCTCCCCATGAACCCAGGGCACTGCTTACCCCCCAGCAGCAGGGACCCAGAAACAAAACATCTCCTCTGGATGTTGGGAGAGTCCACAGGGGAAAAAACTGGAAAGAGGAGGTCAGCATAAAGATTTGTGAGGAGCACTGCTATCAACTCTGTCATTTTGGGGATGTAAATATTTATCTGGCTTGCCTGAAAGAAACCAAGCCCTGTATTTGAGCAACTTAAAAAAAAAAAAAAAACAAACAACTTTGAAAAGCCCCTCACTTCTTGCAATTCTGCTTCTCCCCTCTCCAGTTAAGCCTATCTTTTGGTATTTAATACCTTAAAGACTTACAAGTGAGCGTTTGCCTGTTAATGTGATGTGAGAGTTAGTGAAAGTAGTGAAAACCACCCAGGACCCCCTCTGAAGGCCAGTGCAGTAGAGAGGAGCTCATGCTGTACAGATTCATTCCTGGCACAGAAGTTCTTAAGCAAGGTCAGCCTTACCTCATCCCACTCCGAAGCAAAGGACGGGGACTTCTCCAGCCTCTTCTTCCCAGTGCTGCAGTTCGAGAGCGATTCACTCCGGCTCCCCATGGCATCGTCCTCTGTCGGAGAGCAGGTCAGAAGATCAGAGTCCGATTTGGACAAGCTGCGGCTGAGTTTAAGCTCGGCTTTGGGCTTGCTCCCTGGGTGGGCTCTGCCCACAGCTCTGTCCCCCTCTTCCTCAGCACCGCCGGGGTGCTGTAGTACGTGGGGCGTGACTACAGTTTCAGGATCCGCCCGGTTGACATGCGCGTGCTGGATGGTTGCGTAGACCACTTTCTGGTTTTGGTCCGGAGAGCTGGTCCGTACTGATCCAGAGGCGGGTAAGTCAGCATCCTCCAGCTGCATAGCAGGTGGGTGGCTTGTAGCTTCCGTGCCTCCTTTCTCCGTGGAGGAAACAAGCCTGAAAGGGTCTTCACTTATCTCACAGATTGGGGAAGAACCGTGAAGCAGCCCTGAAAACTGCTCTGGAACCTGGATGTCCTGGCCGTCGGCAGAGTCCTGGCTGCTGCTGCCACTGCTCCTCCTGTGGTCTTCAAGGGGATGAAAACGAGGAAGGGGGGGAAATTAAAAACATGGAAGAAGCAGCAAAATTCCAGCTCTCCCCCTCTCCTCCCTCAGCAAGGGAGGGAGAGATAGAGAACAGTTCAGTATTGTTCTGCATGCTCAACTTGTACCCGAAGTCATGGCATTTATGAAATTCCAAACACTGGCCTGATTTATGCAATCTGGCAGTTCTCCTTGTTGTTTTATTCCTGTTAACACTAACTATCGGGCCTTGCTATATAAGGCTAAGAGAAGTGCTAACTATATCCTGCAGAGAGAGCAAGTGAGGTAGGAGAAGCAGAGACGGAGGCTCCTGGAACATCTGATACATTTCCATAAAGGCCAAAGTGTTATTTAGAGCAGCACTCCCTGCTCTTGGCACGAGCTGCAGGGTGGGAAAACTTCTGGACTGTAATCAACCTGCGAGTTCCAAAATCCGCTCCCCAAAAAAACCACCGCTTTCCTCCCTAGTGGTTTCTGAGTTTAACCTCTCCTCCTTACTCAGGGGAGAGAAATAAACAGTTTATGCAATAAAAAACTTGATCAAGAAGTCTCTCTCTTGCAAGCGAACCACTGAACGCAGAAGGGTCTGATCTACTAACTCAGCGAGCTGCGTGGAATACCTGCTGTCCCAGAAATATGACACTCGCTCAGCTACTCCTGCACCAACATCTTTAATATCAGGTACCAGGGTCCTGCATAAACCATGAATAATTGACTGATCCCAATTGCCAAGTGTGTGCACGGACATACGCGTACTCACCTTGGTCACATTACACATACTTGACCTGCAAAAGCAAAACTTTGTAAAGCTCAGTATAACTTCTGTTTACCAAGGATTCCTATACCTGCCCATAATTGCTTGCAAATTTTAACCACTTCCATTTAGTGCTGAAGAAACACTCTTCAGTCTGAGGACCCAAAAAACCACACTGCAAAGGAGCGTTAAGGCAAAGCGCCCTGATAATGCGGCTCTGAAATGCAAGGAGGTTGTTCAGATGGTGAAGAGGAAATTGCTTCCTTTGCAAGACGGCAGCGCTTGGAAGTCAAGGCAAAGGAATCCTCATTTCAGCGAGGGCAAAATACACTAATGAATTTTACTTATCTTTACCTAAAAGCAACCTATTAGCAATGTGAGATCAACTCCTTCCCCTCAAGCACCCCTTCCAGCACTAGGCTTGACCAGGTCCTTTTCAAACACCTACACCCTCTGGTTCGGTGGTCTGTCCTCGCAGCAGAAATGAGGCAGGAAAGGATCGAATTAGTCATTTGTCTTTGCAAGCTGACTTAGGCCCTGGGGTCTCATGCACTCTGTGTCTGATGCGCGTGAGCTAGTCCCTCTCGCAGGCATTTGTTTACTCCACAGAAATGCTAAAAGCAGCTTGCTCAGTTGGCAGCTGAGTCAGGAACAGCAAAAGCCTGATCGGAGGTTAACTGCCAGGGCAGCGCGCCGGCAGACCTCGCTTCTCACTGGGATCAAGTGATGCGAGGGCTTATTTCATTCTGGATCCTACGAGTTAAAGATTCCAGGACAGTGAAGTAGTTGTTGATTACCCTGCACAAGCACATAAAGCACAAGTTCTGCAGCTGAAGTTGCCAAGGGGGAGGCACATCCCCTGCGGGCAGGTGGTGTCACCAGCATCATCCCTAACGCAGGCTGGGGAGTGCCAACAGCAGCACCCCATCAGATCTCGAGACCAGACTACGTTCAGTTACTTTGCACAGAGTTAGGAAGCTGTAACGCTGGAGAGAAACTTTAGGAGAGACCAGACGTGCTGCATTCATAGGGCAGACTGGTATTAGTAAGAAAAAGCTACTGACCTGGTAAAGGGGACACAGCGTTGATAGGACAGTCACGTTAACCTGATGGGGAGGGAATAACTTTTGCAAATTCAACAGCTTTTCTTCTCAACCTCTTTCCTTCCTTGGACATAATTTCTTTCATGCCCCAGCTTAACCTTTACTGACATTTCTGCTGAAGGCAGAGAGGCGGCTGGTGAAAGTTTATGCCACGTGCGGGAACACTTGGGTCCAGCCAGAACAAAGTGCTCCAAATCCAGCTCCAGAGACTCACAAAAGAGGTCCTGTTGAGCAGAAATCACAGCCCCCATTCATCCACGAGGCGATGAAGGACTTCAAAATACAAAGCAGCTGCCAGGGAAGGAAGGGATGAAGCAAGGGCAACAGGACTTGCTCAGAAGATGTGAGGAACATCTCGAAGGAGACATTTCAGAGCCTGCCCAGCAAGGTGCAGACAGAAGAACTGAAGTAGTAAGGGAAGAGTCATCTTGCTCCTTGTTATCATTGAGGTGTCTGTGGCAGGAACACTGAGGGTTCCTCAGGCCTTACCTTTTGGGGTTTCAACTAAAGGTGTCTCAGGATGGCTAGCAGAGAGGCCAGAACAACCACCAGCCGTCTTGGGAAGGTGTACTTTTTGGAATAGGTACTTTTAGGGATAGGACAGGATTCAGCTGATGTGCTGATCACTTTTCTCATGGCAAAGAGATGAACAGTACTCATTTTTCAAGGATGTAGTGAATTTGGAGAAGGGGGAAATAATACTTAGGTGCTAGAAAAGCAGAGAGACCCCAGTTCTATCCATCTGCTGCACTTCAAGGGATTTGAAAGCATCCTCCCCCAGTCACACCTTTTAACTTGGAAAGGCAGTTGTCCTTAACACAGGGATTTCTGTCCAACTCCCCTAGCATATTTTACACCCAAGCACAGACACCTGACTGGTCGTGACTTCTTCAGCCAATGCCTGCTGCAGCTTTCACCAACAGGAGGAACTTCCAACACCTAATGGGAACAGGAACCCCTTCCTGGGTACAGACTGTCTGCTTCCCAGGGAGGATTCAATTAAGAGCTTCCCTGCCAGCAGCCTGATGATTACAGATATGAAGCACTTCCCTAAACTCCTAACGCTAAGCTGCAACTGCCCTGCCTCGATCAAATTTCTTTCCTTATATATCATCAGC